TTTTTTTTATTTTGGGGTAATTAATGTCACCGGCGATTGAGTGATAAAAAATCAGTGTGCAGCAAATCGGGGTTGATCTTCCCGACGTACGCCGTGACTTGTTTTGTCACATTGTTGCCGTTGCGTGCAATGGGCAAATTATTGCTACTCTAGTATTTTTGTTTGGATTTGGAGGCTCTGCACCCCGGCTCTGCATCCTTGAAAGACTTCGCAACTTATTGCAGACTTCCGTTTTTATCACTGTCTTTGTATGGCTAACAAAAGCGGGATTACCTTTCGATCAATACATGTTATTGTTTTAAATTCGTGCAAGACGAGACTGACACTTGTAAACAAAGCAATAAGCATCACGGGCCAGTGACCAAGCGTCACGGACAAAGGGCAAGCATCACGGCCGAGTGTCCAAGCGTCACGGTACCGTGTCGCTTCAGAGGCCTGGGGAGAACACTGAAGCTTACTAGATATATATATATATGTTTGCAGTGTGATGTATCGTTTTCTCTGCTGTTTAATCTCACTTAAAGATAATTGTTTTTTGCCCCCTTAGTTGTAATAGAAAATGTTATTTGTACTTGATGATTTGCACCTGTTTATGAAACTTATTTATTATAAATTACATAAAAAAAATCACTACAGAAATTCAGTTAAAGTTTTAAAATATTGTGATTTTTCATGATAGTAATAATTCAATTATATTTGAGAGTTCATTTTACTGTGTATAGATGGAATAACATGGTATATATGACACATAGCTAATTATACAGCTGTGAGATTGTATTTATTAATTCCGCTGATAATGTATGCCAATACATTATTGTAGCAATTACATAGTAACAAAATCATTTATTATTAACATTTTGTATGCAGGTTTGATTTTAATCAATAACATAAAGCCATTTTTATTTTTGAAGAGCATGTGTTCATGTATATCTTTACCTGAAACATTCTGATGAACAATGATAAAATGTTGATGTTAAAGGCCCAGGTATACTATAAATACGCTCCTAAACAATAAGGATTATTTCCTTGCTTGTCACACTGTAGTAAACAGCTCCAGCCAAGCTCCGGTAAAGACATGTTTTCTCAAACTTACAGGTCGATTATGTTGTGCCAAAGTGGATGCATGTGACTATAAATACCACAGCAGTGACTGTGTGTAGTATTTATGACAATAAATAGTGTAAGAGCTGAGATTTTGGTGTATAAAATTCAAAAACACGAACCGAGGAAAGTGACGCGCTACTAATCTCGAATAATTAACTACTGTCAATCAAAGTTACGTGATGTTAGACCACTGAAACAGGATGCGTCATAGGCTATGCAAGTGATTAACAACACTCATTAGCATAGCCACACCTCCAATTCACACTTGCAAGTGAATTGGGCCTTTAAGTATCTTAATCTTAGCTCATGTTTGATCATTATCGAATTTGTGACTTTATTCATGTTCATGGGCCAATAGATAGCTATCATCTGATATGTTATAGCAGAGACGTCACTTAATAAACAAAGGCATATTATAATATGTGTATTTTGTAAATTAAAGCACTCGTATCTCCTTCCATTGCCACTTGCCTACTGTAACACCAAATTTATTTCTATATTTCTGTGAGACTAGTTTTGTTCTTGTATGTATGGATTTTACTTTGAAGCATAGATCTATAGTCAAAGTTTACTAAAAATACAACATCAGTACGTTTTTACTAATCCTGTGTTACTATTAACTCATCATATGCATGATATTATATAATCAAAGCTAACAACTAGCATGTATGTTTGTATTGTTTGTTTTATGCCACAGTCTGATGCAGAAGGTGCTAATGATTTGGTGAGTAGGTTACTCATTTATATGCAAATTATTATCGCTTGCTGCCCACCATATCACAATGCTGTTTCTATACATGTTATGAAAATGAAAAGTGAATTTTATATTAAACTCATAAATATAGATAAGAACTCTTATTAATAATAGACATTGGTATGATTGAAATATGTATTCCTTTGAGAACAACAGTATTATTTGCAAGTTAGGCTTCCATTATAATAACTAATAACTAGTTACTAGTTGTTGATAATAGCTTCACATATAGCTAGTTACCATTTGTTAATAATGTAAATAAAGACTTCACATACAGCTAGTTACCATTTGTTAATAATGTAAATGAAGACTTCACATACAGCTAGTTACCAGTCGTTAATAATGTAAACAAAGACTTCACATACAGTTAGTTACCAGTTGTTAATAATGTAAATGAAGACTTCACATACAGTTAATTACCAGTTGTTAATAATGTAAATAGCGACTTCACATACAGCTAGTTACCAGTTGTTAATAATGTAAATAAAGACTTCACATACAGCTAGTTACCAGTTGTTAATAATGTAAACAAAGACTTCACATACAGTTAGTTACCAGTTGTTAATAATGTAAATAAAGACTTCACATACAGCTAGTTACCAGTTGTTGTTAATGTAATTTAAGGCTTCCATTATGGTGGCTACTTATCACTACAAGTATTTAAAAATGTGATTAAAGCCTCCACATCATAGTAACTAGTTATTAATAGTTAATAATGTGATTAAAAGCTACACATCATAGTAACTACTGGGTAGTTACCAATAATTAATAATGTGATTGAAGAATTCACATTTTAATGGCCAGTTACAAGTAGTTAAAAATGTAAGTAAAAGCATCACATTTTAATGGCTAGTTACCAGTTGTTAAAAATGTAATTAAAAGCATCACATTTTAATGGCTAGTTACCAGTTGTTAATAATGTAATTGAAAAATTCACATATAATTATTAGCGGCATAATACCAGGTGGATTTCACAATAAATTAATAATTTTGTTTATTAGCTTGTGTTTGGCAGTGACATTCATAATCAGCTGACTTTTACTGCTGTTGTTTAAATCAATATAAATTATTTTGAATCCAGTTTTATGAATAATTTTATATATGTACCAGGTGTGCATTGATCATGTCAGTGACATTCCGTAAAAACCATTGCAACCATCATTCCCATGCGTAATAGAAGATTGTAATTGAAAACAAGTAGCCAAACTGAATTTGATGTTTTGAAACATAAAACTAACACCATCTTTCAATCTTAGTTTCCATAACAATACATTAACATTTCTCACTTTGAAAGCAAATGTAAATCCTATTTATCGTTAGCATCAAAAAATGTTCCTCAAAATTTGATTATACACAGTTACCGGGTAACCACCATCACCATTGACTAAGGTTGAATTTTCATTTAGTGTTAAAGTAGGAAGAATGATAATGCTTATGATTAAAACCTAAATCTATAATGCATTATTAATGATAACCATCTAGATTATGACAGTTGTGTTTTGAGATGATGCATTTACAGTTGTTGGACTCCTACATGACTTACATGTATTCTATTTTATGAATACATATGTTTGAAATCTGGGTAATGTTTAGAGATTCCCTCAAATTTGGCCTTGTTCTGAATAATTTGGAACAAAGATGGAATTTTGTGTATTTGTGTACATTGGAACACATTTAAAATTATTTGTAAATGAAATTAAAACAAATAACCAATTGAGAAACTGAAACGATTGTAAACATTCAGACTTACTGAAGATGATTGAAAGTTGACCATTTAGAAGATGCATGTATTTCATGCAATCAAATACAATGCATGATAGTCTTCAAATAACTCTAAACGTATAATCTCAATGTCATGTAGACATGATACCATTCTCATTAAATACATAGATGTAGTTCAGTGTAGATAATAGAAATATGCAATCTCCCCAAAACAGTTGAAACAAAATTCTTTAAGAAAAAAAATCAAATCTCATTACCATGGAAATGAGATATTTAAATTTTGTTGGGTAATTCACTGCCTCATCTCTTGTTGCATATCTCTATCAGTCAAGTCTAGTATCACTCATCTTCATAGTAGGTATAGTAGAGGTGTCATTGTGTATTGTCAGAGTGTAATTACATCCATAACTACTACATGTATGTAGTAAATTGTCATTATTGTAATGGTGAAATGGTTCTAAGGTCTTTGTTTGCTTGGCGGCTATCACTATGTTTGTAAACTGATGCTGTAGTCAAGATAACAAAATTATTAATCCTTTTGAGTTGAAAAGCACATAATTTCTTCCATGTTTTATTTTGAAAAAAAGATATGTAGGCAATGAGAAATTATGTTGCACTAATATTATGACGGGGAAACTTAGACGTTGAAAGGGTTAATGATAACATAAAAATAGATTCTGTTTAATTCTTGTTGTCTGTTAAAACAGAATAGATTTATTATATTATTTGGTTCAAATTAATTACTATAAAAGTAGAGAACAAATTTTAGATGTATTTTAAAATATTCTGGTTGTACATCTCTGTATTGTACCGATGAATTTTATCATTTTGCTGACTCAGCATCAGATTGTTTCTAACCTGTTTGTTTTTTCCATCTGTATTCCGATACACTTTTGATTTACATTCAATGGAAGGATCTGGAATGGTTACAGGTGTACATCTTACTTTTTCACACAACAAACAAATCCTGACACTTGTCTTATGGTGCTTTTGATATCAGCATGGCGTTGGCAATCTCATCACTGTCTTTGAATTTCATATCTCTAGGGTGGCAATTCAAGTGCACGCAGTTTATATCTACATTTTTATTACATATTATCTGCCAAAAATATCTCTTGCATCTGTTAAATACACTATTTGTATTTCAAATAATTGTTTAAAACAATACGTGCATTACAAAGATTGATTATAAACATCTGCGCTGTCTGTTCGCTTTGAATGTGTAGCATGAACAGAAGAATTATTGAAATCTAATCATTGGTCATAAAAAATCTATGCACTGCATGTTCACTTTAAAAACCACATATTTCATAATTCTGCATTTTGTGCTGAAAGATATTTTCACTGATAACTGTATTTTACTCATTATTGGATTTTTTCGTAGCTTGGTTCTGCTTTCAGTCTAATGGCTTTATTGCTAAATATGGGCATGTCTCATAATGCAGCTTGGTTTTCTTTTTTCAAGCATTGCTTTCTGACTTGGATAAGTATTGTGCATATGCTAGTGTTTTCTATACTTATTTAACTTGAAGATTTAAGACTTTGGTTTCTCATAACAACCAACTAACAACTTGTATCTTAGATGTGATACTACCACCTTGTGGTACCACCACTATGACTTTACTACTGGTATTATGTTGCTAATGGTTGTGATGAGTTTATAAAGATCCTCAACTTATCAAGGGTTTAAACATTAAGTGATGAACTGGCAATGTAGATACATGTATACTAATCCAAGTCAAGGCAATTCACTCTATTGGAATTGGCTGCTGGCTTTCTTCAACTCTTCATAGCAATCAATAACAATACCTAATATTGTACTAATGTTTTGTTATATTATTTTGTAATGACACTGTCAATTATTTTGCTTTGTGTCTGAGGGTTATGGCTGAGGGATAGAATTGGGAGAGGCGGGAGGGATATGGCCGAGGGCAAGATTGGGAGGTGGATGTGGCTGAGGTAAAGGTTGGGCCGGGCAGAGTGAGTGTATGAGGGCATGATTGGGAGGTGGATGTGGCTGAGGTAAAGGTTGGGCCGGGCAGAGTGAGTGTATGAGGGCATGATTGGGAGGTGGATGTGGCTGAGGTAAAGGTTTGGGCCGGGCAGAGTGAGTGTATGAGGGCAAGATTGGGAGGTGGATGTGGCTGAGGTAAAGGTTGGGCCGGGCAGAGTGAGTGTATGAGGGCATGATTGGGAGGTGGATGTGGCTGAGGTAAAGGTTGGGCCGGGCAGAGTGAGTGTATGAGGGCATGATTGGGAGGTGGATGTGGCTGAGGTAAAGGTTGGGCCGGGCAGAGTGAGTGTATGAGGGCAAGATTGGGAGGTGGATGTGGCTGAGGTAAAGGTTGGGCCGGGCAGAGTGAGTGTATGAGGGCATGATTGGGAGATGGATGTGGCTGAGGTAATGGTTGGGCCGGGCTGAGTGAGTGTATAAGGGCATGATTGGGAGGGATGGTGATGAGACTGCAGGTTAGATTAGGTGAGGGGGGGTAAAAACGAGGCTGAGAGCAAGATCAGAGGGTGGAGGAAGTGTCTAGGAAAAAGATGGGGTGTTGGGGATGAGCCTCAATAAAAGTTGAGGGGAGAGATAAGCATTAGAGTAAAATCAAAGGGTGGGGATGAGCTTGAGATTAAATTTGAGATGGGATATGGCTTTAATATACTGTTATTTCACAAATTTAGCTCAGCTACAGCTAGAATGAACAGATGAATAGCTGTTGAAATATTGTTTTTCTTTTATCAGCAGTGTGATTTGTATTCAAAATTAAGAACACAGGGATACTATTAGGGAAGGAATTTTACCAAATGTATGAGATCTATTGTTTCGAAAAATACCATAACCTCACCTGCTTATGTACATGGCTCACTACACATTAATATCTCTATATTAAGTACTTCTATGATATGTGTAGATAACTTTCATTGCAGTGGACTACACTTCTATGTATATTGAATAACAAGCTATATTTACTCCATGTCAACAGCGTGATGGAGAATCCATACCTTTGGCACAGTCATTACTCAATGCTTTGGCTGATCTTCTCTTCTGTCCTGATTTCACTGTGTCACATCACAAGAAGGGTGGGCCGGTAAGTTTTATTATACTTGTACAAGTGTGAATTTGCCACTAAACCCACATATATCGAAACACAAACCATACACTGATCATTCACTTGACAATGTAAGTAAAAATAACCCAGGGTATTTTTTCAAACACAGTATTTAGAAAAGTAGGCAGCTCATGAGTCAAAAGAAGTGAAGTCGAATACAAATTGGACTGCATTCGCCTTTTAAGGAAATGTGAACAGTTCATTTGAGGAATCATGAGAGGATTCAAAAACCTTGAAACCATATCTGTATTGTAAAGTTTCAAAACATTTTTGGGATCATGTAGAAACAGTTTTTATTTTGAATCCTTATGTTTTACGCATTAATCAAAACATAGCCAATATGTACAAGTGCTGGTACATGTAATGAGGGAGTAAACACAGTAATTGTAAGTACATACCATACCATACTGTACATTTCACAGCTGGATCACATCAATCTTGTTATACACATGATGCATGCATCTCATTCATATCTAGACATATACTGTGTTCATTCATGTTTTTACACTCTTTGTTCTCACCAACACTAGTCTGTCATTGTGCTGTGTTTTCAACATGCATTTTTAGTGATTTGTATTAGATACTAGACTGAACTGAAGTATCATCTGACTTTTTTTATATTAGTGTTTTTTTGTTTGGTTTCTGGGGCTTTTCACCAATTTCGACAGTGTTTTCTACTGTTTGCCATTGACTTTTACAGCTCACAAAATATATTAGGCTGTCTGTTGTTACAATCATTTCCATTGTTAATTAAATTGGATTTGCATAAATTGTAATATTAATTATAATATGTAATTAATAAAAAATGTGCATATAAAACTTGTACTGAAGTTATAACTTTGACAGATTTGGACTGAAGCAAATTAATTGACAATGTCAACAAACTGTCATTTCAACGCAAATCTATTTAGAGTTATTATAAAATACAGTATGTCTGGTCAAAACTCGGATATAATCATGAAAATAAAAACATGGGCAAGTTTTTTGATTGGGTAACTAAAATCATTGAGAACCACTCCAGGACTGATCTGAGAAATGTTTTCTTATAACATCTTAAGATGTTTATGTAATTTGCATGTGTGCGTGATCAGCTTGGCAAGAGATATCCTATTTTACACATATTCTTACTTATTAGTATTGCATTGAAATCTTTTGATCATATATGTGGTACTAGTATGTTATAATAAAGTTACACAACTTGACTTTATTTCCCATAATGTTTTAATTAAAAGATACAACTTTGCAGCATGTTTGGAACAGTGTTGCCATGGTAATCTGGATATGTAGTCTTTGTAATATATAGATTGATGTCTCTGTGTTTTATGACATATTGATATGCTAATTTCATTGAAAAGATAAAATTAACTTGGCTATTTGTGGGTTTGGAAACATTTCAAAGATCTTGCTCAGATAATTATAGACACAATGAAATGAATACTTGAATCATGTTCAATTTCTTTCTAGTTCACACCATATGGCCATTATAATTTTATCAACTGATATTAGTATGGTTTCTATGGAAACCAACTTGGTACCAAGTATATGTATCATATTGAATGATAAATCACTGTCTGCTTATCTCTTTAAATTTTTTTTTATCTCTAATATCTGTTTTGCTATTTTTAACTAATTTTACTGTCATAATCAACACATAGAAGTTTTTTAAATAAAACATTGAAAACTGAATATGACACCATCACTACTATGTATGGTAAATCAATTCCAATGTGATGTTATTTATATGGCTGTTGTTTTTATAGGAGAAGCCTGAAGACCCACAGTCCATAGATAGCTGTGAATACATATGGGAGGCAGGGGTAGGATTTGCTAACACTCCTCCTACAGTACCACAAGCTGATCTTAACAGAACTGAGTTACTCAAGTTATTACTCACATGTTTCTCTGAAGCAATGTATCTACCACCTGTTGGTGAGTCAATGTACTGTGTACTGTGTTTACTCTATTAGAACTGCACTTCCTAAACTGGGCATGTACCATATTTGCTTTTAAATCTACAGAAGATGAACAATTGTTGTGCACCAAATGCACACGAATGCTAACTTTATAACCAGTTCTTTAATGTAAATTCATGTGCTCCCTTATAGAATAAATACATCATTATTAGACCAAAAAGCAAAGTTTCTGGTCTATGTGCATTTCAGCTTAAAAATGTGGCTGCTTACACGTTTCTTTTGTGTAAAAAAAAAAAAAAAAAATTGAACTGTGAAAAAAACACATCAGGCAGCATATTTTCAAAAATCCTTGCTATTGGCAATTTAGGTTTTAATTGTTCTGATTATTTACCATTATTTCAGACATTGGCATATATCTGCTATAATAACTCTCTATTAAATCAACTTGGCCATAATTTATTCTGCCGATGTGCCACTTTTCATGAGCTAGCTTGCCATCTTGCATGTGCGTACGTGCGTCCATCCGAACCTATATCTTAAAAATGCCTGGACCTATCATAATCAAACTTCACACATACATCATACATGATATTATACATATGCACATCATTTTGTTTCATGATCTGATTCAAGATGGCCGAATGGCAGCCATTTTTGTGATAAAAAATCATCATAATCAAGCATTTCTCGGCTGTTTGCAAATGGATTTTGTCCAAACTTGGTATATACATTAGACATTATAGGACCTTTATGCAAATATTTTTGTATTTCAGATAAGATTCCAAATGGTTGATTGGCGGCCATTTTGTTGTAATGAATGAGGTTCTGGTGCCATATCTCTGACTTGCTTTGACTGATTATGTTCAAATTTTAAATATTCATTATACATTATAATGCTGTTCCAGAGCAATTTCTCTCAGTATGGACAAGTACTTATCACCTTCATATAAAAACAAAGAAAAACTTTCAAGTGTAATTAGGAAGTGCCCCAGATTTTTATGTTCCGGATTACTGTATACAAATCTCCAAGCCTTGGCCATTTTGAATTTATAATACATGCTCGAAAAAAAGACTTGTTTTACAGTATATTACCATAAACAAAACTATGTATCTTAAATTCAATAACTAACATGGACTGTGCCATGCATGGCTTGTCTGAAAATTGAAATACAGTTTGCTAGCCTCCAAACCAAATGTATATAATAAAAATAGATGAACATAAAGGATGATTATTTCATTGTTAACATAATATTTATTTCACCTTTTTCAGCCGATGCTCATACGAGTCCCAATCCGTGGATTACATACTTTTGCTCTTCTGAAAACCGGTGAGATATGCGCATGTTTTTCTCTTTTTATCAATATATTTTTCCATTTATTTCCAGTTTTTGAGAAAATGATGGCTGTATTTTAGTAAACTGTGGCAAGTATTATAATGCGTTTACTATTTGTTGCAATTAGAGACTTTTGAGTTTCTAATGGCTGCTCATTTGCATGACCATTTCAATGTTTGAACATGTGTGGGCGAACTATGAGTGGGGTTGTATTTGAATGACCGGGGCATAACATCTTTAATAATAATAATCTTAGTACGAAGAGGATCCTGCTAAACATGCAGTAATGCAGAAAAGGCAAAGCTTATTGAACTTGTAGAATTTGCTGATAAACTAAATGTTCGTCCTTTGAAGCCTGGTGATTGTGGAATATCGAGTAAGCCCTGTTATTGAAAAAAACAACACGACCAATAATAATAATTATGTGTATGTAAATGTATTTATTTACTACAAACTAGGTTTGTCAGGTTCACGTTTGTGGCTATTGTCACTGCTGTTGTACGTACAAATAAAAACACAGGCATTCATGGGTTTAGTTATCATCGTATGTCGCCTGAGAATAAGTGTGGCAGACTGAATGAACAGTGAAGCAAAGTTGTTTCGTGGAAAGTCATCATAGGCAATGTATGATATAGTCAGGGATATTTTGCAGTCTTTTTTTTAATTGCAAATCCAGTTAACTATTTATATGCCTGTAGGTCCGATTCTGGAAATAATACACTTGCCGTACAATGCTAATTGGGTGCATACCATGTTATATTAATTCAACCCCACACCACTGGCCGAACACCCCTGTCATCTGGGTACTTTGTTATGCCCTTCATGGGTGTTATGGCAAAACCAGGCAACTCGAAAGTCAGTAATTGAGAGATATTATCTCAAATTTTAGGCAGGTGACATATTTCTTGTGATATGAAACAGTTGTTGATGTTTTTTATCTCCTTTATTTCAGACATGCATTGCCACTGTTCACCTCTCTACTCAATATAGTATGTGCATATGATCCAGTTGGATATGGAGTTCCATACAATCACCTCATGTTCTCAGATTTCCGTGAATCCCTAGTAGAAGTGGCTGCTCAGCTCCTTGTTGTGACATTGGACCATGATTCAGGTCATAGTTCTGTTGTGACCGTAGATGGCACAGTGAATGGCACACCAGTGGAGGCTGGAGATGTAAGTCGCAATATAGACACATGCAATCATAACAGTAGACCCTTTTCATAAGTTTGGCACCCTCACAGTTTTCTATTAAAGACATTGTCATAATTGTACACACTGATGGAATATGGTTTCCTGTGCCTGTACATCCAGCAAAAACACAGAATTTCCCAGGAGCTTCTTTTTCAGTTCACCTGAAAGGACTACCCCACAGGAACCGGCGAGGGTACCAAATTTATAGAAAAAGGTTCATGCCTCTATCTGATTAGTTCCATGATGCCATATGGATATTATCATCAAAGGAACCTCTGTTAAAATCTAGCTTATTAGAATCAGAAACTGAAATTTGATTAAAATAAAAATATATTTACTGAATTGAGAAAATTAAATGTTATCATTTGACCTCTTGTTTATATGTATTTGACAGGGTATACCAGATAATCTGTTTGTCAATTACTTATCAAGAATACACAGAGAAGAAGATTTTTATTTCATACTTAAAGGTTTGACAAGACTTTTAAACAACCCATTGATACAGGTGAGTGTCAGTAAACAAATGTATGACTTTTTGTATCAACTGTAGAGATGCTGTCAAATTTTAGCTCCCCTGTTGACTTTGTTGAGCAAAGATTGTCATATGAGTTATTGTCCATTGTTGTTTGTGTTTGCATCTGGCGTCCAGTGTTTTTGACTCCTGTGTGCGAAGCACAAAAAGGGAGTCTTTGCAGTTAGTGTGTCTGTATGTGTGTATGTATGTGTGTGTGTGTGTGTGTGTATGTGTGTCCGTCTGTTCCACTGATATCTCAAGAACCATACATCAATTTTTGATGAAACTTGGTGCATAGATGCTCTGGGCCAATGCGCAGATTTGATTAGGTTTTGGTAAAAATCCATGCATATTAATTACCTAATTTGCATGATAATTAGCTGATTTTTGGCTGTTTCATGACTGTTCCACTGATATCTAAAGAACCACTCATTGGATTTTGATGAAACTTGGCACACAGATGCTCCAAACTAATGCGCAGATTTGATTAGTTTTGGGTAAAAATCTGTGCAATATTAATTACCTAATTTGCATAATGATTAATCAATTTTCGGCTTTTCCACTGATATCTCAAGTACTAATCATCACATTTCAATAAAACTTAGTGTCATAGGACACTGCACAAACCTGAAAGTTTTTAGGGTAATATCAGTAGATATTAATTACCTAATTAGCATAATTAATTAATTTTCAGCTTTTGATATTTCAAGTAGTAATTGTCACATTTCAATGAAACTTGGTACATAGATGTCATAGGACACTGCACAGACCTGATAGTTTTTAGGGTAATATGAGTACATATTAATTACCTAATTTGCATAATTAATTAATTTTCAGCTTTTGATATTTCAAGTACTAATCATCACATTTCAATGACACTTGGTACATAGATGTCATAGGACACTGCACAGACCTGATAGTTTTTAGGGTAATACGAGTACATATTAATTACCTAATTAGCATAATTAATTATATTTCAGCTTTTGATATTTCAAGTAGTAATCATCACATTTCAATGAAATTTGGTACATAGATGTCATAGGACACTGCACAGACCTGATAGTTTTTTGGGTAATATCAGTAGATATTAATTACCTAATTAGCATAATTAATTAATTTTCAGCTTTTGATATTTCAAGTAGTAATCATCACATTTCAATGAAACTTGGTACATAGATGTCATAGGACACTGCACAGACCTGATAGTTTTTAAGGTAATATGAGTACATATTAATTACCTAA